TGGACAAGATCAAGCAAGACGACGATCGATAGACGAGACGGAACAAGGGTGGGTAGGGTAGGGATCTCAGCGGCGGCCCGTAATTGATCGGCCGCAGGGTAGACGCTAAATCGCATGTGGACGGGATTGGACATGCTTTTCAGCAGCCAGTGTCGGCGACCCCATTGACCTCAGCTCCTCACATCATCGCCGATTGACACGACTGATGGCACTACATGACTCTCCCCGCCCACGCAAAGCAACTCCATCGTCACGCCCGCCGTTCGTAACAATTACATACTCTGCCTTCACTAGGTACCTTTTGGTCCACCAGCATGTCAACCCCTGCCTCAAATGTCTTGTCACCATGTCACCTCAGGTCATGTTTCGCTTCCTTTTCTTTTGCACTGACGTACAACAAAACATGGGAGCGGTCTGTCTCGAGTCCTCACCGTGCATTTTGTTGATTTTCGCCTTCGCATACGGGCCACTTGCGCCTCATGTCTCCGTGTGCGGCAGGTGGAGACTCAAACAAACTAGCCCGCCCTACTAGTCTATTGCATATCAGTGGAATGCATGTGATGAATGGAGTTGATTAAATCTACCAGTGGCCTCTTACTGGCTCCTGGACGGCTCGGCCTCATCAGCGCGCTGTCCTATCGAGCCGTAGGTGGGTGTGGCCTTATGCATGCTGCGTCAATCTTGGTGATCGACACTTTTGCTTGCCAGAAAACCACGCGCCAGCTAATGTGGGGGAGAAGAAACGCGCATAACCCTGTTGCAGACTTTTGTTCCTCGGCCTTTTGCTGCTAGTAGATATCTCTTTACGTGTCTGATGCGTTGAAATCCCCACTTTCCAAGACCTGGTTGATATCTGCCCCAAACCACGAGCCCCTCCCGCTCGCATTTTGACTTGGCCAACATGACTTCCAAGAACACCGAGCAGCTGAGTTCACAGATGCCTGTACCCCAGCTTGCCACGTCGATTCGCAGCGAAAATCCAATGGACTACGGAGCTACACCGCGCCGTCAAGGCCATGTAACCAAGAAGTTTGTCTTGTGCTTTGATGGCACAGGCAACAAGTTCTCTGGCACAGATTCAGACAGTAATATTCTCAAGATCTATCGCATGCTTGATCGTAATGGCGATGACCAGTTTCATTATTACCAGCCGGGCATTGGCACTTATATCACCAAAGCCAATGGTTCTATGACCAGAACAGGCCGATGGGAAAGATTCCAATCATGGTATGCCAAAGCAAAAGACAGTGCGATCGGTATGTTTGCCCTTGTTGGTGATTTTTCACAATCTTACGCTACTAGGAACGTCCTTTGACATGCACGTTATGGCAGGATACAAGGTGCGTTAGCAAAGTCCTTCCAAGCGAGGTTATACAAAGCCCCTGGAATCTAGCGTCTCAGTTACCATGAGTTGTTAGACTGACAGATTTGTAGTTTTTGATGCGATATTACACGCCTGGAGATGATATTTATTTTTTCGGTTTCTCGCGAGGCGCCTATACCGCTCGCTTTCTTGCCGAAATGCTGGATCATGTCGGTCTACTCTCTGTGAGTATCTGGTCATTGCAATATAGTGCGCATTATTCTAACCCTCGGTAGGCAGGTAATGAGGAGATGTGCCAATTTGCGTGGAAGTAAGTTTTTTTTCACATACTTGATGAGATCCTGCTGACCAAGCTTCAGGACATTTCAAAAATGGCAATGTCGAGTTCCAGAAGAGGGAAAAAATAGGAAGCCTGGGGAAAAGTCAGAAAAGCACAAACAACTCGAGTTCATGTGCGCCTTCAGAGAGACTTTTAGCCGTCCTGTCAAGCCCATCCGCTTTCTTGGTCTTTTCGATACTGTCAACAGTGTCCCGGCCTTTGAGAATGCATGGATGCAGCGCAGCAGGTTCCCATACACTGCACGAAGTAGCGCCCGCGTCATTCGACATGCAGTTTCAATCGACGAGCGCCGCGCAAAGTTCCGACAAGATTTGATCTCCCAGGAAAAGCCAGACAGATCCATGTACTACAAGCACCGTCATAAGCATTGGAACCAAGCCAGGGACATGGTTCACAGTCATGGCGATCATGAGCATGTTGATGAAAAGAACACTCACGATGAGGAAGATAGAGGCCGAAGTGGCAATCTGCTTCCTCCTGAGCGATTTAGAAACCCTCATGACACTTCGGGAGTGCGCAGTTCGAGCAGGGGGTACAATAATCGCTCAGCTACTCCCTCGATGCGATCAGTCGACGCTCACGCGACCTACAACTCAGAAGATGAAGAAGGCGAACAAGACATTCAAGAAGTCTGGTTCCCCGGTTGCCATGCGGTAAGTGCGATGTTGGCCTGATAGCATGGCTGATAAAAAAACTAACATAGTACAGGACATTGGAGGCGGCTGGCCCATTGAAGACGGCGACGCAGCACTAAGCCACGTCCCTCTTGTCTGGATGGTGCGGGAAGCCCAAAAAGCTGGCCTCGAATTCGACGAGGAGAAGCTAGAAGCCCTGAGCTGCTGCCACGAAGACGCCATGCCCGGTGGTGGTAGCCACACCCACAACAACGTCCCAACCATCGAAGTCGACCCCGCCTCGCCCTCGGTCACCGACGGCGACGCAATCACGTCCAGTGGAATCACGGGCTACACGGACGACGAAACTATCCTCTTGCACCACCGCGAAACCCCAGACACGCATTTCCACCAGCACCTCAACGCCGCTGCGACCAAAGGCCGCATCCACGACGTCCTGCAGTTCAACAACGGCGTAAACCGCATGGGCGTCGTCTCCTGGAACATAATGGAGTACCTCCCCTTCCGCCGCATGGACTTGCAAGAAGACGGCAGTTGGAAAGCTATCCGCTGGCCGTTGCCCAAGGGTGAGACACGTGATATCCCCGCCAACGCCGTTATCCACTGCAGCGTCATCAAGCGCATGCGTGCGGACCCAAAGTACCGGCCTGGCAACTTGATTGTTGGTGGTGGTGGAAGGGGTGTGCGAACTGCGCCGGATGATTACGGTATGGGTAAGTGGGTTGTGTCGTGTGAAGAGGGACATCATGTTGGTGAGTGCTTTGTTAGACGGCATCCACCAGAGCGCACGAAGACGGATGAAACGACAGGTGGGAGTAAGGAGAGTAAGGAGGATTACATAGGAGCGAGGAGGACATCGTGCGGGACGAATTGTGAGGCATAGGTTTTTTTTGTGTCATTAAAAGCGCGTTGAGTTGGTAATTGGCAGAATGGGATTATATCGCTGGACGTGCAATTGCAAATCCTAGGGAAATCGGATGGGGTTTTAGTATTTTTTTTTCTAATCATATTTCTTCAGACTGTTATGGCGTTTCGAAAATTTAATAGACAAGTTCGTTCATTAGTTGAGAATTTTAATGTCTTCCATTATTGCTTTGCCTCCCCCCTAAGTATCTAGACTACGTTCTATTGAATCTCGCTAACCACGTCATTCTCTGCACATTTCTTCTCACAACTGCCCAAGCTGTATTACATCGGATTTCATCAATTCGTCTTGTGCTCCCAAAGAAATCCACGTCACATATGCAAATATATTGAACACGTGCTACGCCGTATATCCTAAAAACTTTTCCAATCTAGAATTCTCTATCATCCTCCTTATAAAACCTAAACACCCATACCCGCAACCTAAACTAAAATACCATATCCCCACATAAACATTCTCCAGAAATAATCCTGGTAATTAACCCTACTGCAAAGCAAAATACGCTGCCCTAGCCGCAGCCCTGGCTTCCTTCTCCTCTACCTCCCTCTGCTTATCTTCCTTCCCTTTCCCCTTCTTCTCATTCTTCTCCTCATCTAGTTACCCGTCAGCTTTCCTTCCCTCTCCACATCCCACATAAATAAATAAAAAGAGGCTGGTGAACTTACGTCGCGAATTCCACATTCTACCCAGAAATTCCTTCGAAATCGATGCACCGGAGAGCACAGAGTGTGTATCTGACGATGCAGATGCGGTGTATGAAGGTGGCGAGAGAGTCGAGTAGACTGGTGGCGCTTGCATTGTAGCCGTAGTAGTAGTATTAGAGTGTGAAGACGACATTACTCTAGTAGTAGTAGTAGTAGTAGTAGTAGTAGTAGTCTTGCTATCCGATTATTTTCTGAAAGGGAGAGAAAAAAAGAGAGAAAAAAGTGGTTGATCCAAGAAATACTTCAAATTCACAATTCAAGTCTATAAATGCGAATTTGAAAAATTTGGGTGGTTTTTTTTTCGCTTTGATGGCTATTCTACCCTCATCTTTCCCTACACCCATATATATATCCCTACATCCAAGAATGTTATGACTCCTTACACACCCTTTTTTTCTCACCGGTGTAGCGGGAAAAGGTGTGGTGTGCCATTCGGAATACACCCCATACCACCTTCGCAGCGCGGCTGAGCGCGCAAAAGAGTAAGCGGAGTAAAAGATAGTCAGTATGAGTCGAGATGGTGTGTATGCACCTTAGAGCTTAGGCAGCAGTTGAGTGTGTGCAAGGGTGTATGGGTTAGGCGTCCAATGCCGAACGTACCAGTGTAGTTTGATAAGCGCGGAGAGAGGGTAGGAGGAGGATAACCAGAAATGCGAAGATATTTTATTCCGGGGGGTTTTTTTCGCCTGGAAGAATGGGGAAGGGGGATGGGTTCGGAGTTCCGTGGGCTGAGGGCGGGAATAGGATAGGAGGGTGGGGTCGGGATAGAATTGTATAGCTACGGGACTTGCGCGGTGCGGAATGGATGGTGCGTTTGTGGCGTTATGGGGTTTATTCCGGAATGTATGTATGGAAATGAGTGGCAGGGCATGGGTATGGGAGTTCGGCCCTCAGTATGGAAATAGTCACATTGATAGGGTCTGGTAAAGAACGATTAGAAATCGATGTGGATATGGTACGATCTGCAACTCCGAAATGGAGAATGGATGAACATATAAAGAGTAACAAGTTATAAATATTTACAGACGAAAAAAATCCCTAAAAGTGTATGAATGTTTCATTTCATATCAGTCTACAAACATTGAGAGTAAAATTCACCCGATGCCTTGCAACTTGATCCAGAAGCACCTATGTGTAGTCAGTAAAAAAGAATATTTCATCAATCACACACCCACTCTTCATGTTATCAACTTACAAGTAGTACATCCCGTGAACCCCCTCCCCCCACACTGCCCATACTTCGCAACCGAGCAACCCCCCGCACCACCTCCATCCGTCGGCGCCGGCGCCGCAGACGAAGCCACCGTCGACGTCCTCAACGTACTCGTCTGAGTCGGCGTAGCAACCGGCGGTCCTCCCGTAGCCGTAACCACCGACCCAGCTTGTCCAGCAACCGCTTCGGTGCCACCCGCAATAACCGCGGGGCCGGGGGCAACATACGACGCAAGCTTCTGGTAGATATTAATCAGAATGCCCGGATCAGACGCCTTGTACGCTCCCGGGAAAGAAACGCCAGACGGAACCGACGAGCCACCTCCTGTAACAGTAATCTGATAACACGTCATGTAAAACTGCGCTCCACCTGTACTACCCGCTGCATGCAGCGCAATAGCTTCAGCACGCAAGAGGTAATCTCCCGCGGCGAGATCCGCAGGAATCTTTACATCCATCTTCCCGCAATTCTTGTTCAGATCCTTAGTGCCCCAGTAGTCATCTGAGCCTCCGCCGCCAGACGGATTGCGCGCCCAAGTGTCCTGGAAGATTTTGAAAAAGGGAGTGGAGCCGTCGGCGGTGGAGGAGTCGGAGACTTTGGAGAGGTAGACGAGGACGGGGCCGTAGTGGGCGCCGCCGATGGCTTCGTTGGCGCAGGAGCGGTCGCCGTTTTGTTGGTGCATTTCGATGGTTACGGTGGTGCCGGCTGGGACGCTGCATTTGGAGGCGGCGGGGCCTTGGTTGGCGTTGCAGCGGATGTCGTTGTTTGTTACGGAGGTGACGGGGCTATTGCTGTTGGGTAGTCTTGCGCAGGTTGACTGGTGGGTGGGTGTTAGTGTTGTGGAAGGAATGGTTTTAGAGGGTACATATCTTGTCTACTCCGTTGACCCAGAGGTCCTGGAAAGTTGCATGGGCTGCAACATGAGTTGCAAAGGCAGATATGCTGGTCAAGAGGAGTGTGTTCTTCATCATCGAATATATATGGCGTTTGACAGACTAGGTAAGAAGATATAGATTATGAGAAGTGACTGTCGAGGTGACTGTATACTGGATAATACAATCCTTTTATACTGAAATATAGGTAGCTTAAACAATCCACTACATGCTCGGTTGCGCATCACCTCCAGCAAGTCTCGACAGGCGGGGCTTTGAGGCATATCAGGTCGGATGACCTGGATGTATAAACGCAAAGCTTGTTTTTCACTCGGATCCGGGTTCAATCTTCCATACGTGGTATAACGTGGGTGGTATGCATATTAATCAGTCTGCAAGGCCTCGCCTGTGACACGTGGGCACTCTCATAGTGAGCGCTGGGGTGTTCTCAAAGTCTCGCCTCCCTAGTGGACCATTTGTATATAATACATATGGCATATAGGGCCCACCGGGTGATAGTTCCGTCTAGTTTGGTTCCAGTGGGGTCATAGAAAAACGGCGTTGGGTGTCTCCAAGATTCCATGGCGATTCGGATGTTTTCCAGTTTCTTGCTTGCTCGTCCTTTGTTTAATTCAAGATGGAATAATATGTGCTATTTGCGGGGTTGGATTTACTCTATGAAATCAGCTGCAGCAGCAAAAATGCTCCCATTGAAGTGACTGTGACTTGAGATGACCTCGCTAATAGTCGATATATTAAGTCGATAAGCTATTGAAAGTAATTTGTTTAAATGAAGACACGCCACGTGCCGAATCGCGCAGTCCCCAGATCTGTAGCTTGGCAGGAAGCTTGTTTTACGTCCATGTATGACAGCATCAGTAATAGACTGTACTATCAATGAGGGTTTAGTTGGCGTTCGTGTGCTGATGGGTCCAGGGGGTACAGTGTTGGGTCGGAAGTTGTGCGAGACTGTCTCGTCACGAACCAATCGGCTAGTCGTGCTGGATATTAAGCACATGCACTTTCAAGAATTACTTTCCTTCTCAATGATTGGTGCTCGATTCTGCAAGAGTCATAGAGTTTTTTCTGTGTCTTTCCTAACACCTCAAGTACGAAAATGCTTTTCCAATCGGTATTGGCACATGACTTGAGGAACAACTGCACGTGACACCAATCAGCAGCAACATATCTGGACATTGTTTTCTTACACTACAACTTATCCCACACCATCTTTCCCACCCACTCTCTAGGCTTCCAGAAACCCCAAATACTATCCTGCACCAGCATTACTTTTTCCATGTTGCAGCAGTCCATCTATGTATCCGCTCCGGCGACGCTTGTGGCTGCAGCACTGCAAGTAACATTGTAACGATATCTCGAGTCCAGTTTGAGCCATTTTATTATACTGAGGGATTGTGAGTATAGGGTAGAGGGCGGTCAAGCTTGCGAGATCCAGGCAAGTCAATGTCTGCAAAGCGAGATTGGTTCATGCATCTAAGGGTACTCCAAAAAAGTTGAGCGTTATTCTAGTAGACCTTTGGTATTTGCTTTGTTCTGGTGGCTTTGAGCTAGAGAGGGAATGTGTAGATGGAAGCGTTGTACGGGTTGGAGGGGGTTTGGAGGCATAGTATTGATATTTCTCTCTTTTTCTTTCCAAGCTACTTTTGTTCTGAATGATTTGGTTAATAGGACAGTTCGGGGACTTGCAGGGTTGTCGAGCAGATGAGAATTGGAAAGATGAATGTTGCACAAACGGAAGATTTCGAAATTAGGAAGCGGGAAGAAGAAATGGACTGAAAAGCAAAGGGCGGCTTCAACCTCCCTGGAACTGTGTACGAGTGCGAGAATGGCAAGGAAACCCGATGTCAGCAATACCACTTGCCCCCGCTAGCACAAAAGATTCAGGCGTGTCTCCCTCAATCACTTGTGCAGACCCGTCACTAGACAACTACACCTGCTCGTGCGCATGTACAAACGGCCTGATATTCAAGCAACCACCGCCCCGACCTGGCCACGGTAGCAGCGAGAGCTGCTATCTTTCGTTTGCCACGTGCCAGGCAGACCAGAGCCAATACCTCGAGCGCGAGCAGAATCTTATGAAGCAACTGATTGAGAAGCAGGAGGAACTCACCCGGCGCATTGATGAGTGGAAGGCAGAGAAAAAGAAAGGCACCGTCAGCGATCACTCGTATATTGGCTGCTACATCAATGCCGGCACACCCGTATTAGCAGGCGTCACCCTCGCAAAATCCATGACAAACTCGGTCGACTTGTGTGAGAGAAGACGTCGTGGGTCTGATTTTTTTTTCGCCGTGGAAGATGGACAGACGTGCTTGTGCGCGGGCGGATTTGGCAACGGCATCAAGCGTGCTGATCCCGCTCAGTTTTCAGTACCGTGTCCTGGAAATCCATCGCAGAAGTGTGGAGGGCTGTGGAGAGCAGCGGTTTATTCAAAATAGAGTTGAAGAGAAAAAGCGTCTATGGCTAAGGCGGTAGTTGTGTGGGATTGGATTGGAAATGGAGCGTAAGAAGTTAGTGTCTTGGTGGGACTCAAGTTGGGATATACCGGTGAATAGAAATAGTCTGTTGTTGTTAGAACAATGCATCGCACCATAGTACGACGTGAATCTACATACTGCACGGGCCAAAAACGGTATAATGCACTTAAGAAGTCACGTCCTCCCTGCATCTGCGATCTACTCGCACTACGCTCCGCGGCCCGTCGTTTCCTTTAGGCACCGGCAAGAAGATGGAATGGAGGGGCGGCAAAAGAGTGGGGTAGCAGTTCCATGACGTTTGAGCTCTGCAGCTACCTAGCTGTACAAATCGTCAACAAACCCTCGCTGCCCACGAAGCACTCTCTTGTACTGTTGCTTAGCACTTTGTCATTGCCAATTGCTTTCCCAGACAAGGAAGAACGAAATAGACAACAGTAAAATCGACAATGGCTTCACCAAAGACGGTCCGCTGGGGTATCCTGGCTACAGGAGGCATCGCCCTCACCTTGTACGTTGTAATGGTTTACCCCGCCATGGTGACACCACGTCTCACCCCCACCATAGATGACTATGGCAGCAGGCTGATGGGACAACAACAGTACCAGGGATTTGCTGTGCGATCCCACGACTCGCGGCGTGAACCATCTCAAGCACACGGTTGTTGCTGCTGCGTCGTCGACGTCGGAATCGCGCGCCAAAGACTTCCTCAAAGAGGTCGGCGCGCCATCGGACGCAAAGGCATACGGATCGTACGAGGAGTTTGTCAAGAACCCAGACATCGACGTCGTATATATTGCCACACCACACTCGCACCATTACCAGAATGCCATGCTGTGCTTGGAGGCGGGCAAGAATGTGCTGTGCGAAAAGGCCTTTACTGTCAATGCCGCCCAGGCACGGAAGCTTGCCGAGGTTGCCAGGTCAAAGAACCTGTTCCTGATGGAGGCGGTATGGACTCGCTACTTTCCTCTGTCGATATACGTGCGTGAGCAAATCACTGCTGGACGCATCGGACCCGTCACGCGCGTCCTCTCCGATAACAGCATGGCGCTCGACCCTGAGAATAGCTTTGCAGATGGCAAGAATCGTATGGTCAACCCAGACCTGGCTGGTGGCGCCCTGCTTGATCTCGGCATCTACGCTCTGACCTGGGTCTTCCAGACCATATACCACACGCAGCCCGAGAAGACGCGCCAGGCGCCCCAGCTGCAGGCCTTTGTCAAGAACTACGAGCCGACAGGAATGGCTGATGAGCACAGCACCATGATTTTGCGATTCCCACGCTCAAAGGAGGAAGGCGGTGAGGCTCATGCTGTAGCCACAACATCTCTTCGCGTAGCTACTTCACCAGGGGGAAACATGGACGCACCGTTTGTTCGTATCCAAGGACCACTGGGCGAGATCCAAGTATTTGGGTCGTCGTTCCGGCCCCTCTCGACCAAAATTATTACCAAGGACGGCAAGGTCGAGTCCAAGGAATTTCCAATCCCAGGCCCAGGTAAGGGAAGCGGCTGGTACAACGGCTTTGGTGGCTCACTACAATCAGAAGGAGAGGGTCAGGGCATGTTCTGGGAGGCGGATGAGGCAGCTGATGCCATCATCAACGGCCGGAAAGAAGGCAGGTTCCTAGGCCTGGATGAGAGCGTCTTGATCATGGAGGTTATGGATGAGGTAAGGAAGCAGGGGGGGCTGGTATACCCTGACAAGATTGAGACATTGGACTACCCTAGGCAATTGTAAGTGCGGTCAGGTGGGCGATTGCGTATGTGGTAGGACAAACGGGCCTATGCCTAGATGATGAGTAAATGGCGCATGCTTGGAGATGATGCACAAGGCGGAAGGTGTTTTTCTGATCAGCATGTAGAAGATGCTAGGCATTAGCTATGATGTTGTCATGTTTCAGGTATTGGTGCGGTTGACCGCCATAGCAATAGCGACAATCTTGGGCTAGTACTACCCCTGTGGTGTAATTGTTCCCGAGTTGCTCCGCTGTCCGAAATGCATGCGATCTTCGCCCTTGTGACGGCGATGGCTCTAACAGGGGATGCTTGACGACGAATGTCTTGCAATGGCCCGTTTGATGCCTGCTGTGCCCGAAGCGGAGAACAAGTGTGGGTATAGACTTGATCGGGAGAGATTGACACAGTGTTGGAAAGGGTAAAGTGAGCCGTGGAATGACGTTGTACTAGTGGGCATGTCACGAATCGGGAGCAGGATTACCAAGCTGATGGCGCAAGATACAAGCGCAGCAGCCAAGGGAGGATAGAATCAATTGAGTGGGTGCGGATCGTGCTTTGAGGAGGAATGTGCCGTGGCATGGAAACGTGTTAGCGGGAGTGCATATGGCTAGGCTGGGAGAGTATGATTGAGGCATGGATGACAGCCAGTGCGCTTTTCGAGTTTGCGCGGCACGCGGAAGCAGTACCGGGACACCAGGAAGGATTTTGGTGGGTCTTTTCGGGCCTTTAGCATCTGAACATGGTCCAGACTCTAGACCAGCCGGCGATCTGTAGACAAATGATCCCCGAAGTACCGTGCAGTGTAGCCATTGATACGGTACATGGATTTTAAGGCCTACCGATGACTTGAAACTGGCGTCGGCTAGTGGCAGTGGTCGGACCCTGCTGTTTGGGGCTTTGAAACCAGCTGGTAGGGTAGCTGCAGGTGCTTGAAGTGGCACTAGCAAAACGTAGAGCGGTGGTGGACAGCACAGAGGATGCAGGTGGAAGGGGGCAAAAAGGGTTCTGTCGTGTTGTTGGCACACACTTTGTGGTCCGAAACACGGCCAGTAGAGGCTATACGTCTCCTTTTCTTTTTCTTTTCTTTTTTTTTTTAACTTATGGCTGGGTGAGGGAGGTTCGGCGTGCTCTAGAAGGTGGCAGGTGTGTAGTAGGATGATGCAGGCTGACAGAAATTAAGGTCGGCGAGTGGTGTTGCCCACAAGGGTAAGAATAGCGACGGTGGTGGTGATGGTAAATGGAAAATGCCGCAGCTAGGCCTAGTGGGGGATGGCGGCATGTGCCTCGCAACGGGAACATCTGGGTAGAGTAGGTGGACGTATGCAGAAGTGATTTGGGGGGGGGGGAAGAAGGGATGCAGCGGCGATAGGCCGAGTCATGGGGGGCGCAATCGATCGTGCAGGAGAGTAGGGCCGAGTCATGTGCGACATGAGGGTTAGTGTGTAACTACTATGGACATACGGCGGGCGTAGTAGGACTGTAGTAGGCTGGCAGCACTCGTTGTCGGTTGACATCCGAGTTCCCCGCATCATCAAACGGTGGCGCAACCAGGCCCAAAGCATGCCTTCGAGCCGCACGCAGACTGAGTGTGAGCTGGCGTGCCAATGGCTATCGACGTGTGTTGACACAATTCACACATGCATCGGCGATGTGAGGCAATGCAGCAGGGCGGGGCGGCAGAGCGCACAGTGACAGGCGGCGGAGGCGGCGGCGGCGGCGGCGGGGCAGCAGGGCCCACGGGCAAGGAGACGATGGTGGAGAAGGCGGCAGTGGTGGTTGTGGAGGAGGAGGTAGCGGTGGTGGTGGTGTTGGTGGTGGTAGTAATAGTAGTAGTAGTACGGGTAGTGGTGGTGGTGGTACTGTTAGTGGGCAAGTTCCCGACGGACCGGGAAGACGCACCATAGCGGGCTGGCCGCGACACCGAGTCCCTGCACTACGATTGAAAAGTTCGGCGCAATCGCTTTCGCATCTCGCACTGGCAGCGGCAGTTTTGGACGAGCGGGCAGCGTGGTCGAGACGTGCACACGACCACCATGCTTCTTCTTCTCCCTGCGTCGTGAATCCCGCCCCCATGTCCTCCTCGACGCCCGCGCCGACAACAAACTCGCGCCGAGTCCCGCTCGACAAACGCAAGCGCACCGAGACCAGCTGCGACAAGTGCAAGTCGCGCAAGCAGAAATGCCGCAAGGAGCCTGGCCAGGACGCGTGCCGGTACTGCATGGTACACAACATTGAATGTCTTACCACGCAGCCTCGCAAGAAGCGCCTGTATGGCAGTGTCGAGGGCCTCGGGACCCGCCTGGCGCTGCTCGAGGCCCTCGTCAAGGGCCTGCTGCCAGAGGCCGATGTCTCCAGCACCGATGCCCTACGCCAACTCGCCACCTCGCACGGCATCCCCCTACCAGAGTCCATCCAAGCCCAGGGCGATGCCGACCACGACAACGCTGCCGACCCGGACGGCGACGACACCGTCTCGCTGCTGCCGGACCAGCAGGGCCAGGTGCAGTACATTGGGCCCGCTAGCTCTTTTGCCTTCCACCTCAAGCTGCGCACGCTGGTCGGCCGCGGGCCTCTTCGCGAGTTTGTCCTTTTTGGCAAGAATGCCGCCTCGACATCACCAGATGCCACCGACCATCTCCACCATCACCACCAAAACCACCGCCAAAACCACCACCAACACCACCACGCCTTGTCTAACCCGCCCGGCTCCCTCGACCCCACCACTGCCACTACCACTGTCGCTGCCCAGCTCGCCCCGAATCAGCGCCCGACTCTCGAGCTGCTCATCCGCACCTTCTTCGACCGCATCCACCCAGATGTTCCCATCCTGCACGAGCCTTGCTTCCGTGAGGCCTACGATGCCTGGCTCGCAGACCCCCGCAATGCAGACCCCGCCTGGCTGTGCACCTTCACCTGCATGTTGCTGCTCGCCCGCCGTGTTGCTCGCGTCCCCTTTCCCGAGGACCAGGAGCGGTTATGGTGGCACCGCGTCCAGAAGCTGCTCCCGGGCGTCATCTTCACCTCGAGCGTCACAGCTGTCCAGGCCCTAATCCTCGCTGCCTTGCACCTGCACAACACCAACCACCGCGACGCCTGCTGGAACCTGACAGGCGCCGCCATCCGCATAGCCCACGCCATTGGCCTACACCAGGACAGCATGAGCGCCGGCAGCACGCCCCTAGCCAGAGAGACGCGCCGCATGCTGTGGTGGGTCCTGTATGGCTTTGAGAACATACAGGTATCCTCCTACGACCGCCCCAGCGCTATTGAAACCGCTGGCGTGAAGCTCCGCTGCCCCAGTGACAAGATCATAAACGGCTCTCCTGGCATCCTGGCCGCCTATTGTCGTCTGACGGCGCTGTTGGGCACTGTATGTCGCGCACCCAGGACACTCAAACCAAACGCCAGCGACGAGTCGTACGTCGGACCCTTGTCCCCCGCCGCATCTGCCCTGCGCGACCTGGGCCGATGGAAGGAGACGCTCCCACAACATTTGCAGCCAGAAGCCATTGACGCTACCCCGCCCGCCGGCCGACGGAATCTGCTCATGATGCACAGTCTTCATCACTACACCATGATTGTTTTGTGTCGCTCAGCACTCCTTGCTCGCGCTTCTACACTGTTCAATACCGGCACCGACTCGACTAATCCAGCTCTAATAGCAATGGCTGACGCCTGTTCGGAATCCGGCCGCGACCTGGCCCAGTTGCTGCTCAAGTCCGATCATCTTGGACTATTTGATTCCGTCATCTCATTCGATATTTGGTACATGCTAGCTTCAAGCTCTGCACTAGTTCTCGACCTGGTTTGTCTAAACAAGCTTGAGGGCACTGACATGTCTGAATCCCGCATCCTCCTCTCCCAGCTTGCCGACCTCGCTCAGCGGCACCGCCGGAATCCGTACATGCCTGGCACACTGGAGAAATTTGCCTCCCTCGTCCCGGAACTGCATTCCATGGCCGACTCGCTAGCTTCGCCCATCCACATCTCCGAACCAAAAACAGAATCTCACGAGCCTCTACCGCAACCCGTACTCCCAGCTCAGCCATTGACGCAGCCACCTACCGTGCCGCACATGTACCACCAATCGCCCCCTGCGGCTGGCTCATACATGTTTGCAGATGACATGCAGAGCCGCGGCTACCCAGAACAACCGTACGTTGGTCCGGCCATTCATCCCACTGGCCGATATGATCGAAATACGCAAATGCACTTTATGGACTTTACCATCAACAATATGAACGACTGGAATTGGCACGATATGAGCAGTCTGCTCGGCGATGGCGTATCAGGCGTGCCAAACATACCTGGCGATCCCCATGTACACGGACCGCAGTCTACAGGGCCAAACTGAGCTGGCTGTAGCACCAACCACATACGAATGAGCGCGTATGCGCAAGAGATACCCCCCCTTGACCCTCCCCTTGCTCCATGTATTGCCTACTAGGATGATTGTAATTTTCAAGTCGCGGCATTGGTCTCCGCTTATTCTACCGTTTTTGTATGTTTACACATCTGTCCTTATTTACACGCCCACTTGAACGGTTCCAGAGACTGGCTTTTCAACACACCTATCTTAACCATGTTTAAAAAATGTTCGCCCCCTTTCCCCTTTCCTCTCGCATCTTCCGTCTTGTATATACCCATTCGTAGTAGTAGCCGTATACGGAGAGACCATTCCACTTTGCAACACTTATCCTGCATTTGCTTCCAATTTTCCACTGGGGGCAAATAAAACAAGATCTCGATTCTATCAACATATATCGTCAAGTAGATTATTTGTTTGTCACATTTAAAAAAAATGTTCGAGATTCTAATTAACTTCCTTTCAAATCTCCCCTGTCCCTTTCTTATCCTTTTTTTCGTTTTTTTTGTTACAATTCCACATATATGCAAAGTCGGTAGGTAGGTTTTCCAAAAGTCATGTGGGGGGTTTGTTACATGACTAGAACTGAACTAGATCGATAATTCAAAAACGTCTTGATCACTTTTCTTACTTTCTGAATCATAAAAAAAAGGTCATGGTGTATTGCAAACTACAGAAACCAAGGCCCAAGGAAATGCCGGCGTGCATGTCGTAGATACGAATATCTCACATTGCCCGCCCCACGGTCCACATGATTGGAATTCCAGCACTTCATCCAACTCCGCCAACTCGCGTTCGAGGGGACAATTACCGAGTCCTTTCCACCAACTGCCATGCTGCATACCCCGAAACGAGAGAGGGGGAGGGGGGGAGCGAAAAGTCCTAGAATCTCGAACTTTTTTTTGTCGAATGAAAGCGGGGTTCGTATAAACAAAGTACTCCCCAACCAAAGGGGCAATGTTGTGCGGCACTTCGCTCAGCCCTCTCCATTCATCTCTTTCTCCTCTCTCTAAAAAAACAATACCGAGCACATAAACCCGGCATCGCGAGATTTAGTCTCTCAGTAAATGCCGCCACGTCCGCCTCTCTAGCGTAAACCCCTTATCCCTCAACACCCCATCCAGCTTTACCTGCGCCTTGAGCAACTTCGCCACCGCCTCGCTATCATCATACTCTTCCTCTCCCTCTCCCTCTCCCTCCTCTTCCTCGCTACTCGTACCCTGCTCCTCCAGCGCATCAAGCAGCGCATCAAGCAGCGCCTGCCCACGCGCCTCAAGCTCGTCGATGCGCTCGATGGCTGCCGAAAGTGCGGATTGCAGGATATTCTGGTTGAGAGCAGCGGTGACGCCGCGGAAGGTGGCAGCGGTGCTGTATTTTGTGGTGTTGTATTTGACGGATTGGCGGTGCAAGAGGGCTTTGAGGTGGATGTTTTGCTGTTGGGTTTTTTCTTTGGTGCGGTCGCTGCGCCGGAGTTTGGTCATGTTTGCTTTGGCTTCATGGAGTTGGGAGGCCAGACGGTCGCGTTTAGTGGTTGCTTCGTCGAGCATTTTGTTTGCCTTGTCGAGGTTCGTGGTGACTTCATTGAGGCAAGAGGCGAGGTCTGCGTTTCGGGCTTCGGAGGTGTCACGTTGGTTTTTGAGTGAGCCGTTGCCTTTTTTGAGCTCTGAAATGATGTCCTCGCGGTCTTTGAGCCTTTTGTTTGCCTCAGCGAGGTCTTTGGTGTGCTTTTGCGCGAGGGTACGCCAGGTGTCGTGGCAATCTCGCTGAGGAGGCTTTGGTTTTGTAGAGAAGGGGCAGGGGGAAGTTTGCATAATGCTGACGGGGATTTACCTACCACGGTGTTTTCTTGACCTGCGGGCTGAGTCTCTGTCGATAACTCGGCTGGTGCGGATGCACGGCGCCTGAAGATCAAGGGTCGCAACTTCCATCTGGCTGGGATTGCCCATAGCACCCCAGTGCTTAGGACTGCCATGGCTGTTTGTTGTCGAGATCGAAGTGTACCACTCTCAACTGGTGGTGCAGACGGTTAAAAAGGTCGGACAAACCGCAAGTCTTATATAGGGGACAGAGAACCGCTCGCTGCGAAATCTGAAGCAAACGGAAGCGCGCGACACCATGAGAGCAACTCCAGGTGAAGGTGAAAACTCCAAGGTAAAGGCAGAAACCCCGCGTCACCACGTGGCAGTATAAAGCGTAGGATACGCATTCACTGTTAACTGAAGCAAACCGCGGCATGACAATGACAAACTGAGAGACTGTAATCAGAGATTTCTGAAGAGATGAATGTAAGTTTAGGGATGGAAATTACATTTATATGGGTATACAAGATCAATGGCTAACACATACTTTGGTCAAAAACCATACCTCACTTACAGAGCCATTGCTACAGCAAAGACACCAACAGCACCTCCAACAACCTTTATAGCGCCCGTAGGCAGGGGCCCAGCAGCTTGATTTGGCGTCGACGCAGCATTAGATCCCGAACTCGCTGGCGCGTTTGCACCACCACCCGACGGGCTACGTGTAGGTGTACCTGTAGGTGTAGGTGTCGCTGAAGCCGAAGCCGAAGCAGGCGAAGCCGCACCACTTGCGCTCACCAGGCTCACCACCTGGTATGCCTCCATACCCTGGATTTCGCTCTGAGGCAGCACACTCGTAGTCGCTAGTTGAGCGCTCTGGTCAGGAATATGCCCGCTTTGAGTAACGTCGCATGTCAAATCTGCCTTTGTCATTTCACCCTTCCAGCTGCATTTCATATCGACGGTCCATGCGCCGGGGACGGGGTCGGTGAGATGGAATTCGTAAGTCTCTGGACCTTGGATGATTGTGTAGGGCTCGCAGAAGGAGTAGTCGTCATCGGAAGCACTGGCTTGTCGGCGCATGCGAGGTGCGGGTGTCGGTGCTGGGGTAGCCGACGCATCGTCTGGGGTTGGGACTGGTAGTGGGTTCAGAATATAGTCCCAATTTGAGGAATTGAACTTCTAACATACGCAAGTCGGATGGTACTGCAGAGATACCGGCGGCGTCTGAGGGACAGGAGTTTTGGAATGTAGTTGCCTTTGCGTCTGAGCCCAGTACAGTGAGTGTGCTGTCGAACTGGAAGAAGTTTATGACTGTGGCAGATTCTTGCGCGAGAACAGCGCCTGCAAACAGTGTCATGTAATTATAAGAACGCATGGTGAATATTAAAGTAATGCGATGGAGTGGCAGATATGCAATGAGAATACTGGAAATCCGGGGAAAGACTGAACTATATCATGTCTAACGCTCTCTTTATATTTGTGAAAAGAAAATAGTACTACACTCCGGCTGGCTTCCATCCGGTCTCCGTCCTACGAGTCACAACGTTGTTGTGCCTTGCATTGGTGATGATGCATCAGCAACTGCCAGTGGTCGCCTAACATACTAACTGTATCTAGTGCTTAATAATTCCAGGGGGTGGCGTGTCGCTTAGCAATAGCGAGCAAATCATTGTGAATATTGCAGAAACATGACAGGGGCCGGCCTGATGGTTTGAATTTTAGGAAAAAAAATAGATTGTCTAGGTTTACGATTAGGTTGTGGTTGGAAAATGATACCTTGCAACAAATCCCTCCCACTGCATCGGCAGCTTAGTGCATCGCAAATATATCCGATGCATTAATGACCATTGCAGACATGCAGTCGGATTAAGGCGGAACCCTCTAATTGATGAGTTATTTTCTCACGAGGTTTGTATGAAGCTACTGGCGAGTTTTGTGTTCCATACCATTAGATCTCGTATCGTTTGACAACATCAAGAGACGTTTGTCAAACAAAAAATGTGGGTAACTACTGATATTCCAGACATATCGGTCGACATGTAAACCGAATGTTTGGTGAAATAGAAATCAGGAATAACAATTGCATAGCCATATGCCCTGTCTAGAGCAAAAGCATCATGGGAGACGTAGACAAAGTTAGGGTATATTCTATCTGAGAAGACAAAACAAGAATATCCGTAATTGCATATCTATCAGCAGCGAGAATCTTCTGTCTCGAGATATCCCCACTCACTCACTCAATACATGCATTGCATCAGCACTGTCCATAACAATACATATCATAGAACCATATAGTCATCTGCATTAAAATACATCCATACTGCTTGAATGGGTGCACCCATTGCTAGCTTTTGCACGCCCCACCGAATGACAATACATAAGTCGAAGTTGACCCTGGCCATTCCTGCATTCCAAAGAAATCATATCTGCCATGCTACATGTTCTTAGAAAGGTCGGAAGCCTCCAGTGGGCTGTGGCGCAATGCCGTTCGTCTGTCCATAAGGACCTGGAGACGGAGCTGAACCCATAGGGCCCTGCGTGAGCATAAGACGCGAACCCAAGATTGGCGTGTCCTCCTCCTTCTTCTGCTGCGAAGCTTCACGAACCTTGCGTTCTTCGTTGTCCTTCTTCAGCGCCTCAAGAGTCGCTGTCTGTTGGGCGATGAGGTTGATCATGTATGGCTACGAGACGTTAGTATATGTAATGTAATACCAAATGACTGATACATACCATGGTAAAGTCATGAAGACCATTGCGCCACGACATCTCAAGGATGACGTCTGGTCGAAGAAGATCGTAACAGGCATAGAGCATACCGACATAGCATTCGCGGCTGCCAATGTCGACAAACTATACAAGTAATTAGCAATATACTTTAATAACATCATAGATCGACTTACGTAGCGAAGCAGATCCTCGACAACCTCTGACTTGCCAGATGTTGCGGCGGTTTCGATAGCGTCTTTGAAGAGTTTGTCCTGTTTAGACAGTGCAATGGACTTCTCCCACCGCTTGTTCTTGCGATAGATGTCGGCCGCAATCTGACGGAAAAATACCAGATCGTGCTTCTCCAGACGCTGTGCAAGATCGACAGGGTCGTAGTTGTTGTAGTTGTTGACTGAATCGCGAAGTGTCTTGTAGTCTTCCTCCTCAATGAGAAGCTCGTGCAGGGCGTTATTCACCTCACGCTTGTTTTGTGACTGAACGTTGAGAAGGAAAGGCTTGATCAGAGGAATGTTGTCAGACTTGGTAAACATCCGGACTACGCGGTTGACGTCGATTCGAGGAGTAAGCGCTTGTAGGAGGTCGGTCAGCAAAGTGGGGTGTTGCTCCAGGTAGAATCCTAGCGCCCGGTAGTAGATCTCGACGTTGCTGGCTTTGACAATCGTGTCTTTAAAAGCTTGATGCTCCCAGGCATCCTCTGCTCTTTCCATCATGGCCAATGCCGCTTCGAGAGGTCAGTATTGAACATGTTTGCAGGTGCAGAATGCAGGGTGGGTGTGTCATACCGTTATCCCATTCGTCATAATGGACATACAAAAACACGAGTTCGGGCCAGAGGTGAGCCTCCTCCACCGCACGGATCATCTTGGGAATGTTGATACGGCCTAAGTGGTTACCAAGTTAGATGTATTCGATAGTGGGACTGGATAGCTACACATACCCCAGTGTATACGGATTGTCTCCATGACCTGTTCAGGCTTATACTTGGCAAGCGACTCTCCGAGGGCAGTATACATCCCCATGTGCGCTGAAGTATATTAGTACATGTCTCATAGAAAAGTTGATCAGGAGTGCCTACCTCTTTCCAAACCAAGACCAGCCTCAAGAAGGTTGATCAGCTCATCAAAGTAGCCATTGCGTTCATACTGCTTGACGAGGTCTGCTAGTTCTTCGGCATGAACAATCAGGTTGAGACCACAGATCTGGGCAAGCCGGAACTCCTTCTTTGCCACGCAGGCCTCGTTGACTTGCTTCCATGTCTTGATCGAATTTGCCTTCCTGGCACATTCAACCGCACCCTGGTAGTCCTCAAGGTGAACGAGAGTGGTGGCAAGCTTGGCCCAGTTGGAGATGCTAGTATAGAAGATCTTGGCAGCCTCATGGTAGCCCTCCTCGTAAGCCTTGTCTCCCGAAGCTTCAGCATCGGCAACGTTGGTAGCGCGGAGGAAGTCCTCCAGCTCCGCCAGCTGGTTTGTGCGAGCGAAACAGAAAGCGAGTGCTGTATCGATGGGAACTTCACGGAGGGTCTTACGAGCCATCCTTAAGAACTTAATCAAGTCCTCGTCTTTGCCAGCATGGGTGGCGATTTCGATGACTTCCAAAAAGTTGGACGGATCTTCGGCGCGAATGTAAGACTCGATCGAGTCTGAAACACGGAGACCATCGAGTTGTGCCTTCGCAACTCTGCTCCATACCTGGGGCAAGTCGACGCGGTCGGCGTACTCTTGTGCTCGGTCGATGCTAACAATGTGCTCAATGAGAACGTTGGCGGCCTCAACGTGGTTCTCGTGCTTCTTGTAAATCTCAAAAGCCTCATCATACATGCCAACCTCAATACACTGCTGTGCAATGTCTTCGGGAGTGTATTGATCAAGTTGCTGGATGTAGTTCATCACCCTGCCACGATCAGACTTGCAAGCTGTGAGCATCAACAAGTTCTGGAGGGAAGGGTTGTCGCTGAACGTTGAAGGCTCAAGGATAATCTTCTCCAGCAGTTCAATCAGCTCGGCAGGCATGTCACCAGTAATGAAAGCCTTCACTGCAAC